GGAAAAAATGTACAATGACTTTCCCTTGGAAGGGATTAAAGCTGACCAAACCAAGTGTCTGGTGAAATATATGCTCTTCCAGAGCAAAAGCTTTAAAAAGTAGCAGATATGTAGAAGCTACAGATATGTCCCTTTTTTGCAAAGAACAACTACAATGCTATCAATGGACTTTGAAGATGTAGGAAGGGAGTTTTGCTCTTGTCCGTGTTCCTTCCCCATTCACAGTACTGTAACTATTTGGAGGAAAAAATAAACTTCTCACAGAGGATGAAATTTAACAGACACAAATGGAAAGTTCATCACTTAGGAAACCGAAATTAAACAACAGCTTTAGGATGAGAAATACCTGACTTAAGGTTTGCGCTGGCACAGGGACAGTTGACTAATTGTTTTTTTTTTAAGTACAGAAGTGCACATGATCCTCAACCTACCCCCAGACCACCACGAAGGCAGCTTCGCTTTGTCTTACTTCATCTTACAAATAGTTGTTCTAACTGTTGCTGACAAAGTGTGCTGTGTGGTCTATCTGCTATACTTCATTGTAAGCAAATGTTTCCAATTGGCTACCGTGCAACAGTTGCAGAATCTCCACTTCCTTTTGATCCCAGGTCACTGTCTTCCACAGCCATTTTGTCCCTGGCTATTTACTGCTTTCTATTTATTGCTCACAGTGCACCTTTGCTTTTTATTTTTATTTTTAAATGAGTGGACTTGTAAAACAGAGAAGCTGGGATTCTGGTTTGTTTCATTAATCTTACTGTTGGGCATTTTAACATTTAACAATACTAAAGCATTAAACACTGGTGGTGCAGTGGCTAGAATGCAATATTGCAGGCTAACTCTGCCCACAGCCTGGAGTTTTACCCTGACGAGGCTCGAATATGACTCAGCCTTCCATCCTTCCAAGGTCAGTGAAATGAGGACCCAAATTGTTGGGGGCAATATGCTGACATTGTAAACGGTTCAGAGAGTGCTGTAAAGCAGTATGGGGCCACGTATAAGTCCAAGTGCTATTGCTACTGTCAAAACAAATAGAAGGGAGAATCAACAGCAAGCAGGTTTAATTCAAAAGCTCCCTAAATGGCAACATATCCCTGCAAAGTCCTGATGCGCACTGCTTTTGAAGCTCTAGGTCAAACTTGGCAACTTTAAGACTTGTGGACTTCAACTCCCAGAATTCCGCAGCCAGCTATTCTGGGAGTTGAACTCCACAAGTCTTAAAGTTGCCAAGTTTGGAGACCTCTGCTCTAGGTCACTGGCTCCTATCTATATGCATAAGTGCCCACCATCATCAAGACAACCAAAGGACCAGTGTACCACTTCACTTTGTAGAACATACACATTCCAGTGAAATGAATCTCCTTTCGTCTCTTCCTTCCTTTCTTCCTTCCTTGACAAGAGTTTTGCCTGTTCCCCCAATTGCAACAGTGCTGTGATACTATCCTGACACTTGACAAGGCATGGCCTAATAAAAATGTTGATTGCATGTTTGAACCTCTTGAAGCAATTGATTTTTTCCTGTCAGTGTGAAAGTGAAGTTACTTCTTATATCTACCACATTTGAAATTTGAAACTCTTTTTCTCTCATCTTTCCCCACGGCTTACAGCTTGATTTTTAATTTCTCAGGCTTCATGCTACGAAGCAATCAATTGTTCACATAGCCAACATTCCTACTCTGACAAACTGGAGGTGAATATGAATCGCCAGTGTAATATGTTTTTTTTTTTAAAAAGGCAAATGTAATTTTCAGGCTGCATCAACTGAAGCATGGATTCTAGTAATAGTTCTGCACTGGTCAGCTCTTGCCTCAAATATTGTGATTACCTGTGGACTACACTGAACATTAAGAAAAAATCATACCAACTAAAGTAGACATGGAAATTGTAATGAGATGATTGGGGGGGAGGGGGGAGGTAGTCAATGTGGTGAAAGAAATTGGGCATGTGTAAGGGAGAATATGATAATACACTTCAAATATCTGAAAGGATATCAAACAGAAAAAAGGTCAAGTTTTTTTTATCATTAAGATAAGGAATAATGATTTAAAGTACTGTAATAATGCTCATTCATATAGGGTATAGAATAACTGATTTAAGACAGATTCCCATTAGAATTGCTGGGAAAAAAAGGCAAAAAAACACTTCCCTACAGGAAATGTACTTCAACAACAGAATCACTCACTATGACAGGTGACGGACACCTCTTTAATAGCTATGTTCAAGCAGAACTTCTGTCAAAAAATGCTTTGATTAGATTCCTGCACCAAGCACAGTTGGACTCAAAACACAAATAACCCCTTCCAATCTGATGATTCTGAATGTAAACTTCAGGCTAGTGTGGTCCATGAACAGCAATCTGACATCCCTCTCAATATATGCAAGAATTATGATTTCAGGGGAATGCAAAGAGCATGGAACTGAACTTGGGTGGAACAACTGATCCCAAAAAGAAAAATTGAGGAAGTTATTTATTTCCCTAAATAATATAGATTAAGAAATACATATAGTCACACTTGTCATAAGCTTTCCATTGGGATATCTACCTAAGAAGTCAAAGGTTGAAGGTAAGGGTACAAAGTTGATCCTGAAAATGCCCCCCCCCCCCACACACACACACATAACAATGAACATGGCTATATTAAAAGACACAAAAATGGAGCATGAAAAATAGGACAGCCACAAAACTTAACTAAAATAGAAATATACTGTTGTCTGGTACTCTATCAGATTTGGTTAGTTGCAAAAGCCATTAGAAATTTCAACATGTACCACTTCCAACAAGCACCTTGAATACCTCAATGTATTTTCTGTCCTTTTTATTCACACCCCACCATTCATAAAATCTTTAATAGCAATATTAATTCTCTATAGAAGAACTCAGCTGAGGATGCTTGGATACTTGAAGTAGTACTTAATTTTAGAATCTGTGTTTGCATTAATTCTGCAGATTCTGAGTTCAGTTAACTGAACTAACTGCCCTATCTTTTTGTAACACCAGTCATACACTTGTTAATCACATTGTAATCTAATGTTTAGTGCCATCTAGTGTAATGGTTATAATTTGAGTGCCCATTTAGTGTAGTGGTTAAGATTCTGGCCTAAAAAAACAGGATATTCTGAGATATAGTCTTGCCTTAGGTATGAAAGCCAGCTAAGTAACATTGGGCCAGTTACTCTTTCTCCACCCAGCGCACCTAACAGAGTGGGGAAAATAGGAGGAAGAAGGAGTCTCAGGTATATTTACCACCTTATTTAAAAAAGTAATAAAAGTGGGATAAAAGAAATCTAAAAAATAAAATGTCTTTTACAGTTGCAGGACATGCTTGCCCGTTATTAATACAACCACATTTTATTCACTCCTATATGCTATTTTATAACAGCAAATTACAATAGGCTAACATGTACTTGACATGCTTGCCAATTTAGACTAAAGTGGCTTAGATTTAAATTCTTCTCAATTATTATGCACCTTAACCATGATTAACATTATCATGATTAACAACTCAATTTTCATAGCATCCATGATACTCTGAACTATAAAAGTGATCACCCAAGCTGAGTTTGCACAACTGGCTAGACTAAAATTTGCGGCTTGGATTGTAATGTAGTGGCTTTTGCCTGTCCACCTATGCTACCAGTAAACTGCAGGTTAGTCTTAAAACATCTTGAAACACTAGAATCTGTAGCTGGGGCTAAGGCCAAGAAGACACTGGCTCGGGCATCCATTTCAAAGCTTAGGTGATGCCCAACATTGCCACTCCTGCCAAATCATTCCAAAAATACAGACTTTTGTATCATCATCAGGTGACACCATCAGTCACTGTAGCCTAAGGGCACAGTATATCGTTGAGCCAGCCTTGGTTTGCAAGATCCAGAAAATAGCAATAAAGTGAAGAAAATAAGGGAGAATCATATTTTGCTAGAAAGAAGAATGTTCTTTGATAATCGATTCTGGGAATAGAAGAAAATATTTTTCACATACACCTTTGCTTCAACTAGATCACTGTTGTCAATGAGGGTTGGGAGACACGGACTCTATGAGATTTTAACCACACTTCCATGAACATGGAATCTGGAAGCCTTTTCATGCAAGAAGCAGTGAGAAGTAGAGTCGGAGTATGACAGAAAAAAAGCTCTTGATACGTTCCCCCCTACCAGTCTTAAGAAGTATTTTAGGCCATGTTGCCTGTTTTCTGAGCACAAGGAGCTCCTATGCCCAAGAGACAGTGCAGTCATGTTGTCTTTGAGCAGGCTGGGTTCATTTGCAATTATACATTACAAAGCAAATTACTTCCAAGTGCTTAGCTCGCTTATGGTTCGGTGTAGCGCAGAATCTTTGCTTTTGTATCCTCCTAGCGAGGCCTGCAAGCAGAAAACCAGTTTGGGGTTTGGGAGCAAGAAGTTCAAAAGGATGCCAAACGCTAACTAATCCTTGTGACTTACTAAAGAGCTGTGGGGGAGGGGGGGAATGCAAAGCGGCAGCCGGTCCCATCCTTCTTTAGGGAACTCACTAGGCACGGCAGCTTAAGACCGCAAGACGGTGTGCCTTGAACGAACTTGCCTGCATTCGGCCGCCGCTGCTCCGCGAGTCAAAGCCTCAACTGTCCCCCGACGGATCTTCATAGCGCTTTAAGAGAAGGCTGAGCCTTCCAACTCCGCCCCGAAGTTCCCGGGACGCCTCCGTCAGATCCCATCCCAATTGGCTGACTAGGATATGAATATGTATGTCCCGACCTGTGTGAATGAGGCGCTGTGCCCTCCCCTCGCCGCCGCACAGAGAGGCTTAGGGAGCGTGCGGGGCTTCGCTTGAGCAATCGCTCTTCTTCTGGTCGCTCGCCGAGCGGTGCCTGGCGGCGGCTCTGCAACCGGCTTGGTCCTGCTGCCACAGGAGCCCGGGGAGCTTCTTGCCTCTTCGCTGCCGCTGTCTTCCTCTTGCCAGGCACGCTGCTTCTCAGCCGGCCCCGTCTCCAACCTCCTACTTGTCGGCGCCTGCCGAAGAGATGCGGGGCCTGTCCGGATGGATGCTGCTGCTGGTGCTCGGCAGCTGGTTCCGTCTGCGAGCCAAGGGCGCCGTGCCGCTGGCTGGCTTTTATCCCTTCGGGCCGGCGCAGGGAGACGCGGCCACCCCTCAGCAAGACGACGGCGGTTCTGGTCTCCAGCCCATCGCCGTCAAGTTCCCCTTCTTCGGCGCGACTCACACGGCGCTCTACGTGAGTACTCGTCCCGTCGGGTGCTACGGAAAGTGCGGGCACCGCCGCGCGGGACTTTTGCTCATCTCTGCGGTTCCTTAATGAGAAGTTAGTCCCAGAGGTGCTTTTTTTTTTTTTTTTTTTAAAGAGGCAACTGGACTTTCTGGTTTTTCTTTGAAGACGTTTCGCCTCTCATCCAAGGAGCTTCTTCAGCTCTGAAAGTCCAGCTGCCTCTTGAAAAAGTACCTTCGGGACAAGCATGACCAGGATGACTGAGAATCTCCGTAGACGAGAAGTAGTATGCTTAGTGCGGAGCAATAATGCCTTGACTACGTGCACCAGCCCTAGCCCCTTTCTAAAATATATTTTATCTCTGAATATTTGTTAACTGCCATGCTTGCCACTGGGAAACTATTTTCCCATGATACGCCTACCAGTTAGGTTGTACTGCTATGTCAGATGCTTGCTTTTTTTGTTTTGCTTCCTGCTCCAGGATGCTCCGTCTTCAAAGCATTGGGTACCGATCCTAATGTCTTATCCAAACACAATGGATCTCACCCTTAACTGTAGTGCTTGGGACCCCAGCCTTTGAACCACCAAACCGGGTCCGATGGAAACTCAGGTCTTAATTGACTTCCTAAAGATTAGCGCTGGAGGCTGATAATAAAGTTTAAGCGTTGTGTTTAAACTTCCCCACGGTCCTCTTCTCCCCACATCCTTCAAAGAGGATGCTAGAAAGACAATGGGGTGTTATGAAAGATTACATACCGATCTTCACTGAATTGCTGATTAATGATTATGGAAGATGTAGTATTTAACACGTTAGAAAAGAAAACAAGTTAGGAAAGCTGTTGAATTCACATGGAATCACTCATATTAACAGCCAGTGTTTTGATTGCTCAGCGTGGCTAGGTAGTGACACATAGTTGAGCTTGGGTGATCTTAAAAACTTGAGTGGGGCCAAGTCTGTTAGAATTTGGATGGGAGACCATTAGGGGAATTTCAGGGCCAAAAGTTGAACTGGAATTTTTATTTTATTTTTTAAAAAATCCTGAGAAAAGACAGCGGCAAACCATTTCTGTAATGATACTAAGAAAATTACACAGATGTGTCCAGTACTCAAATTTGATGAGAGGTTTTGCATTTACTGGATGATTAGGATAGAGAGATTGTTCCACTTACTGTGACTGTCACTTAATATGACAACTTACATGCAAGGTGGTCAACTGTTATAATAAATTGTTAATAGTAAGAAAGTGAAAACTGAAAGAATATATAAGAAACCAGTAAGAAAAGCTATCAATGGTTTGCAGGAAGAGATGAGACAAAAAGGAGATCCTGGCTTCCAGACCCAGTTTTTTATTGAACAGTGCTTGCTAATCCTAGAGCAGGGGTCGCCAACCTTTTGGACCTCAGAGACCACCAAACTCATAATTTTAAATCCCGCAGACCAGAGACCCTGGGAAAATCCCCAAAAAAGTCTACAGGAAAATTCCCCACCCCGTTTTCTTACCGATTGATTATTCTTTATTTGGGATCGCAGGATACCGTCTCCAGCTCTGTTCTCGGGGGGGGGGGGGGGGGGGGAGACTTTTGGCTTCATGCACGGAAAGCAGCAGAAGCATCAGAAGTCTTTCTTTCTCTCCCCCAAACTCCACCAGAAATGAGTCTTTGCCAGCACAGCCTCTTGGAGCAGGATGCCTTGCAGGGTTCCAAAGACTCATTTCTAGCAGAGTTTGGGGGAGACAAAGAAAGACTTTTGCTGCTTTCCTTGCGTGCAGCCAAAAGCAAAAGATGAAAGAAGTGGAAAGAAGTAGCCCAGTGGCCAGGTGAAGCGTGTGGGGCATGTGGGGCAAGTTCTCCCTTCCACCCTTTCCCCCCTCCCATCACTACCTCGTGTTGTTCGCAATGCAAGCAATGCAAGCTTTGTGTTCCCGCAGGCCATCTGGGCGGCGCAGCCTTATGTTCCCGCGCAGCCTGGGTTAATTGCTTTGGGGGGGGGACATTTCTCTACGGACCACCAAAATTTTGTCATGGACCACCAGTGGTCCCCAGCCCACTGGTTGGCAACCACTGTCCTAGAGGGCAATAGGTCTTGTTTTAATGTAACTTATTTAAGTATTCCAGTTTGAAAATCTACTCTTTGAATAATGTCATTTTTGGGGGGTCAAACTCGCAGCCCGCAGGCCAGATGCGTCCCGTGCTAGCCACGCCCATACCCAGTTTAGCGAATGGGGAAAAGTTACAATACGTCATGTGATGCCACCATGACAACCCGCGTCTGACACCCCTGTTCTAGATTTAGAAAGCACATGAAAGTTCTTTGCGCCTAAGGGAGGTCACTGCTCCAGATCTAGTTTGACTATTAAAACAAATTCCTGGAATCTGCTTTTTCTTTTACTCTTATGGGTGTTTCCTAATCAGAGAATAAACCAAAAGGGTTAAAATTTATGAGTTGTAAATAAAATAAAAAACTCTGTTCCCTTTCAGTTATTTTGGAAAGCATCTGTAATCAGTTGGGGTGTTTATAATTGGAGCTGGTAAGAGTTGTGCTCCAAAACATGTAGAGGACACCAGCTTGGCCGAGATAAGACACGATGATGCTATAAAATCACTAAAGAGTTGTTTAGCTTTGTTTTTTAAGAGAAAACAAAAGAGGCAACATATTTGTCTTCTTGGCATCATACATACTGTATTTGTCATGTTGTAACAACTTTTCAACTGTCCAGTAATTGTGGAAATTAAACTTGAATTCCTCCTCTTCTCATACCCCAAAGCAGATTTGTAGAATACATATACTATTGAGCACTTTGTAAATAATATGGTTGACAACTGAAGGTTGTGCAGTCAACAAAAATCAGTATTACTCATAGCTACCCAAATACTTGGCATAGCTTGGTGTTTAGGTTGATTTTCACAAATTCCTGTCCTTCAAATGTATTGGAATCTTGTTGGTTGAGATTTGTAGCTCCAATACAAATGGAAATTTACTGTATTTTAAACTTTGAGGTTATTAGGAATAATTAGTTATTAGGAATAATGAACCCTTCAAACTAATCTTGTTTTCCAAATCATTTAGCACTAATCATCAGATAGAAAGGCTATAATAGTTTATGATCTAATCTTGCTTGCTGGTAGCAGCAACAATACTATGGTGTGTATAGTGCTTTTAGATACTCAAAAAATTTCACAAACAGCCCAGAAGGTGATGTTCATAATTTTTCCTGGGAAAGGCACACTTGGCCATGCTAGGAGCCATACCCCCAAAAAGCAATTCATAAATCCAGGAGTGGAATTGAATTTTATTCTATTCCTTTTAAGTATAAATAAATTGTAATACTATATAATCAGTAGAATTGCTTTTCAGTCAGATCAGTGATGGTATTCTACCAGTTCGGCCCGGTTCTGCCGAGCCAGTAGCAGCGATGAGCAGTGGAGACCAAACCGGTTCTCTCTGCCCTTCTGCTGTTGGGCCCACCCGCCCGCCTGGGCTCCCCTACTCACCTTTATCCTCTGAATTTGAAGCACAGCTGCTTTCCTCACAGAATAGTGCTGCACGACAGCTGCTGAAGCGACAGGGATTGTGCAGGCTTGCAGGAGGTGAGTTAGAACGCATCTACACCTACGCAAATGCCTCTGCGCCTGTGCAAAGTACATGTTTGGCACACACACGCGCAAAGTGTGTGCACGCGTGCAAAGCGCACCCACCAAGCCACGTCCACCGAACCGGAGGTAAAAATATTTGAATCCCACCACTGAGTCAGATGTTAATAATTTTTGCCTTTTTAAAAAAGAAAGCATTTCAATACACCTTTTGGGATCCGGAGGAGCTGTTTTTAAGGCTGTATGTTACCTGGTGCACAATCTATTCATAATACCATACAGCATACAGTGTGGCAGTATTATTATTCCCATAATACAGATTTGGAGCAATAAGCTGCAGTAGTGGGGGAGGAAGAAACGCAGTGGTGGTATTCAGCTGGTTCGCACCGGATTGGGCGAACCAGTAGCAAGAATTTGGTGTAGGTTGCCGAACCAGTAGTAAGTTCTGGCTGGCCACACCCCCAATCCAGTCACCCTCCCGCCCGATCCTCGCTTACCTGCCCACCTGACATTCGCCTAAGGTATTTCTTTTTTTTCTCCTCCCAACAATCAGCTGTAGATAAGATCAGCTGTGCCGTGATTCCCCTTGCTGAGGCCCAGGAAGGCAAAAAATGGAGGGAGAAGCTCAGCCCCTCCCCCTCTATTTTTTGCCTTCCAGAGCCCCAGCGGAGCCTTAGGGGAGCAAAAATGCCCCTCCCAAAGGGTCTTCTGAGGCTAGGAAGCTCCCAAAACGGAGCTTGGAGGAGTGCTGCCTGCCTCTCTCGTGCTCTGTTCCTTTTCTTCCAGAGCCCCAGAGGAGCCTTAGGGGAGCAAAAACGCCCCTCGCCCCCGAGGCTCTTCTGTAGCTAAGAAGCTCCCAAAAACAGGTGGAGGGGGCTGCAAAAAAAGCCACGCCCACCAAGCCACACCCACAGAACCGGTAGTAAAAGTTTTTGAATCCCACCACTGAAGAAATGGTGGTTGGTAAGATTATCAACAGGATGAGAATGGGGACTCCTAACTTTTTAATCTATCTCCTAACTGTCATCTTTCTCCAGGAAAATGGGTATTCAGCTCCAGTGCTTCAGATAACTGAACCCAAAGAAGTTCACAGAAAGAATGTTTTGTGATTCCTGTACAGTAGTCTCCTTTTCCCTTCATTATTCCTCACCTTACATTGTTGAAAGACAGACCACATAATCAGAGGCTTTTTGAAGTTTATGGAAGGACAGAGAAAAAAGAAAATGATTCTTCCCTAAGTCTCCTTAATGTATCTTATCTTAGGATCAATATCTCCAGCAGCCAGGCTTCAAATTTAAATAGAAGGCTTGGCCTCTACAATCTCCCTTAAAAACTCTTGAAGGAGGGGGGGCGGGATCCCCATTCCCATTCCATAACAACTCCAACCTCCAATGTTACAAATGAATAGCTTTATCTGC